GGATTTAAAAACGACTACATGTGGTTACTTCTGTTTATAGTTTCTGAATGAAATGAATAAAGGGAATTCGTATTACAATCTATTGGAAGTGTTCGACATATATGACACAATGAAGAATGAGAGATTCCTCGAACATTATTTTAGAAATATCTAACTTATATATATATAATGGTAAAATCATATTGTGTTAGACAGAAGAAAGTCACTGAATGTGTTCCGGGTAGTGAAAGATATGAAAAAACTAAAAATGGTCGAACTATGTTAAAATGCATTTGTGCTGAATGTGGGGTAACAAAGACCAAATTTGTTAAGAACCTCGGGAAACTAATTGAGCCCTCACAAGCGGGGGGCAATATATTTCAACTATATAACAGTCATAGTCTTGGTGAAATGGCTTTGAAAGGTGCACTCAACACAGGAATATTTGCAGCTCGTAAAGGCTTGGCAAAAGCTGTAAAATCTAATGTTGCTAAGCGAAAAGTAAAAAATGTAGCAAGCAAGTACATTGATCAAGCACTAGACTCATTCATGGGTGATGTAAGTAAGAAAATAGACCCAGGTAAAATAGGAAGTGGTTATGACTATGATATGAGAATGTATGCTGGTGACAGAGTTGATGATCCAACAAACCCTCTTTATCAACGAGGTGATGGAATCGATATACATAAATTAATTGGAAAACTTCCAACACCAAAGGGTGGTTGGACTTTGCCTGGTCATAGATACACTGGGCCTTACAACGATTTAGATTCGCAAGTAAAGTACGATCCAGTGACTGGTGAGATATTAGAAATATATGATCGACCGACTGGAAGAACAGATGAAGTCTCCATGAGGCATGATGTTGATTATTCCGTTTGTAAAGATGATAGAAAATGCAAAAATGAAGCAGATAGGAAAATGGTTAAGGCTCTGGACAATGTACCTTATCATGAACGCCAATGGGGTCATTGGCTAGCTAGGAATATGATCAATACAAAGCAGACACTAGGTCTCGGTGTAAAACAAAGGAAGACAGAAAACGGGAAAGGCCGTCGAGTGAGGAAAACTGGCAAGAAAAATTAGCTGATGAATTACATAAACCTATAAAACGTAACTTTACTCGACGGCGTGTCATCGCAAATCATGTTGATGAAATATGGGCTGCAGATTTGGTTGATATGCAGAAATTCAGCAAATGGAACAAAGGTTATAAATATCTTTTAATGGTTATTGATGTATTCTCTAAATACGGTTGGATTGTTCCTTTGAAGGATAAAAAGGGTGAAAGTGTTACAAAGGCATTCAGTGAAATATTCAAGGAAGGCAGAAAACCACAATATCTATGGGTTGATAAGGGAAAGGAGTTCTATAACAAACACTTGAAAGACTTGCTAGAGAAAAATGGGATACATATGTACTCCACTGAGAATGAGGAGAAATCCTCAGTGGTTGAAAGGTGGAATCGAACAATCAAGTCCAAAATGTGGAAGCAGTTCACGATTCAGGGTAATACTCGATGTTTAGACATACTACCTAAAATATTGAAACAGTATAACAACACTAGACATAGTTCGATAAAAATGACACCAGTAGAGGCCTCAAAGAAAAAGAATGAAGAAACTGTTTACTTTAATCTATATGGTGATATGGAAATATCAAAACAGAAACCGAAATTTAAAGTTGGTGATAAGGTCAGAATATCTAAGTACAAACGAGATGTATTCGATAAAGGCTATACTCCAAACTGGACAGAAGAACTGTTTACAATTAATAAAATACAACATACAAACCCAATCACATACAAAATAAAGGATCTAAATGATGAAGAAATACAAGGGAGCTTTTATGAACTCGAATTATTAAAAGCAAAACAAGAGGTATTCAGAATTGATAAAGTCATTCGGAGGGATTATAAGAAGAAAATGGCTTTGGTGAAGTGGAAAGGATATAATGATAACTTTAACAGTTGGATATCGTTTAGGGATTTACAAACAATATAATATATATAAGATGAATGAAGAAATAAAATTTCTTAAAAACTACAAAAAAAGTGAAGTACTTAGAATGGTTGTCGAATTTAAGTCAGTTTGCATGGTAGACGAATACGAAGACGAAGATGATTTTGATATTAATGAATTTATTGATGGGATGTATACTTTTCTAAAAAAACATAAAAAAGCTCAACTGATTGATCTCTATTTTAATGAGGATAAATTAAAAGAGATTGTTTCTGAAATAGTTAAAACGCACTATCTATAAGGCTTAAATAAATAACATATAGTATATATATATATAGATAAATGGAGAATCAAGATAATCAAAATATTAAAAGAGGTCGAGGCAGACCTAAAGTATTTACCGATGAGGAAAGAAAGAACCATAAGACAGCCTATATGTTAAATAAAGAGTGGTATTGTGAAATATGTAAAGACGGGACGTAATTATACACTAGCGGGGAAGTCCTGTCACTTAAAAACAAATAAGCATATTAAGAATAAGATAATCGATATAACACACAAAAAATAAATTCTCTCATATAGTTTAAAGGATCTATTAATTAGATCATTTGAATTCTTACCTATATTTAAACGCACTAATTATAGACACTTAAAAATAAAAATCTATAGTATATATATATAATGAAATCAGAAAAATCTAATCATATAGATATGAACAAGAGAGATCTTAAGAAACTCAGTAAATCAGAACTTATCAAATTGCTATTAAAGCAAGAGAAGAAGAAGCCTGAAAATACCATGGTAGATAAGAAGCCAAATAAAAAACAGAAAGTGGTTTATAACCATGATAATTTATTTAATGATAATCCATTCCCAGACTTTGCCGTCACAAGTGATCCATTTGAAAGAACGATGAAGAAAGTCAACAAACAAGATAAAAACATTAATGAACAAACAGCATCAATCAATGATAAATACAGCAAACTAGTTACAAAAGAGAAAAAAGTACACAATTATCCAATGATAAAAGCAACATTAGATCAATACCGTAAGGATGAAATGAAATTAAGCAATGACAAAAACAAGAGATTGAAATCATTTGTCGACCTCTTCGCAAAAAGACTCAACGAAATGCAAGGAAAAGAGCAGACCGTGTCTACTACAATACATGTAAAATTATCTCACTTATTACGTGGAATGAACGAAACGGTTTCTGAACACACATACGGTCCTTTTACAGTTGATAAGCCTGTTAATTTGAGCATTCCAGATACATACAAGTTCGCATTATACACGTTAATGAAAACAAACGTGACATTTTTGTCGGGCGAATCTGTTACACACATTGGTTGCAAAATAGTCAATTTAGACAAGAAAAGAGTCATAAAACATAAGATGGGTAAACTCAAGCTCGAGTCATACTTGTTAAACAAACAACGACCCATTAAGAGCCATGGTGTGAACACATGCGTCGTAGACTATGTATGGGATCAAGTTCGAGGTCAACGGGGTTTTAAAACATATACTTATGACAAGTTGAAGAGTGAGATATACGATTACGTACCTGAAGGCCAAATGATCAGTACCGAAGAACTGATTAATTGGGCTAATGAATGCCATGATAATTTATCAATCCACGCTTTTGATAGTAGGTATAGAAAATTCATCACACATAGTAAAAACTGCTCAAATATATCACTCGTATATATCGTAAAAGATCATCATTGTTATCCTATTACAAATGAAAAACTCAAAATCGTAGCAAGTAAGGCAAACCAAGGCGGATGTAATGACCTACTAAAACACATGTCTGATCTAAAATGGACTAGGCGTCATGATAATGTTACAAAAATCAAATCAGTTGATGATATATGCAGTTTGGATAAAGAAAACCATATAGTCGTTCTCCCTGAAAACACGAAGATGAAAGAAGCCATAGATTTATATAGCAGGAAAGAGAATTTTTATGTCGAATATCTACATTGGAATAATAACGGTATTCTAGACGGTTTCATTGATCACAAAAAGAATATGTACCTCTTAAACGAGGAATATGACACCAGAAAAACAATATGTGATAAACTATTTAACACTTTCAAAACTCATGACTTCAAATGGACAAACCAAAGCTATACAAGTATCTCATCAAGCGTGTTCAAGCAGTTAAACGGATATATACCTGAATCATCATATAATGTCAACACACGGCAAATGTTGGACGAATACTATCCGAAGGCGTTGCAATGGTGCACAACAGACGATATACCAGAAGACGTTGTCAGTGTTGATATAGCTAAATGCTACCCGAGCATCTTATTAAACAATAAACACGAAATCCCAATTTACAGTATCCACGATGTCATCGAACCGTTTAATTGTAAAAGTGACCTAAAACTATGTGGTGAATTCTACATTGACGAAACAGTACTTGATAAATATAGTAACCCCATAAAAATCGAAGCCGGTTTTTACAGCTCTAATCTGGTATCATACCTCGTTGATACATTAAATATGCCTATAAGTCAGATCAAACATAAAATCGTTACTAAGAGAGCTCTGAAACCAGACACATTTAGTGAGTTCATAAAATACATCTTCGATAACCTCCCAGAGGGTGAGGCAAAGAAAATAGCAAATAGTTTTATTGGGGAACTCGGCCGAAAATACAATAAAACAAATCATGGATTTACTTGCACAGACTATGAAACAGCGACGGCATGTTAGACGTCTGCTATGGCTGAAGGTAAAAATGTCACAATTGATCATCATGATGGGATTTATCTTATACGAGAGCAAAACATTGATCGTATTTTTTCAGACCATACAAGTATTAACCGATTCATTGTATCCGAGGCTATATTAAAATGTTTGCAATTAATAGAAACATGTCATGGTGAAGACAGCGTATTATACGGATACAATACAGACGGGATTTATATAACTAACCCTAAAACAACATTCAGAAATAAGAAAGACGTCAAATTCAGTACTAAAAAAATTGGTAAAGCTTATGTTACGGACAGTAAATTAGCGTATGTTGAAAAACATTACAGGGAAAACATGAATATATCAGACTACAAGATTGAAAGTGGTAAAGGGTGTATATATAATGGGCAAGCGGGAAGTGGTAAAACAACCAAACTATGCGAAATGGTACAAGAAGCGAAAAAACCTCTTGTCTTAGCATTCACAAATAAGGCCATTGAAAATGTTAAAAAGAGGATTATCAGAACACGGGTAAAAAACCCAAAGAAAAAAGATAAAAATGCAAAGGATTATGCAAATAATATATGTCATACTTTCGACTCATACTTTTGTGAATGGAATGGGAGGAACATTGATAGTCTTAAGGACAAGACCGTTTTTATTGAAGAATTCTCAATGGTCCCCAACAAGTGGATAACGACAATCTACAGAGCATTTTTAAAATACAATAACACAGTATACATGTTTGGTGACCCAAATCAATGCGAGCCAGTAGAAAGTGGAAGTCAGATAAACTATGACTATCTAGAGTCTAAAACAATACGTGAAATGTGCCCAAAGGTCGAAACCCTTAAATACATAGAGAAGTCGTGTAGATATGACAAGCAAACCCATGAGATGTTAAAAACATTCTTAAAACATGGTAAAATCTCGACATATTTCCAACCTATTGATCAGAAACTTTATAAAAATATCTGTTACTTGAACTCGACAAGAATAAAGGTCAATACGCAATGTTGTGACCAATTCACAAAGGATAAGAGGTATGAAACGGTAGAGTTCAAATATGATAATAAAAAAGAAAATTATAAAGTGTGCCAAAACATGCCAGTACTAGCAACAACGAATATAAAAGACAAAAAAATATTCAATACTATGGAATTCGTGATAGAGGAAATAAAAGGGAATAAATTCAAGGTTAACGATGAATGGTTTGATAAAAAAGAGTTTTCCGAAAGCCTCATACCGAGCTTCTGCATTACCGTTTACAAATACCAAGGAGCAGATATTGACGAACCGTATAACATTCACGACGTCAACAGGATGGACAAAAAACAACTGTACACAGCATTAAGCAGAACGACCAAGTTAGAGTACATAAATTTGAACAACAAAGCGATAAACAATAAATATTTCAACCGTAGAAAACCCACATTAGAAATAGTTAATAGTAAATTTAATAGTTTGTACAAGAATGGAAAGATATATAAAGTAACATTTAATAACGGAATGGTCTATGTAGGTTCAACCTGTGAAGATATAGAAACACGCCTAAAATGGCATCTATCAAACAAGAAGAGCCAAGTATTCAAACACAAAGACAAGAAACCAAAGATAGAATTGATTATTAATGCACCAAGTAACGACAAAAAGAGTTTAGAAAAAGTTGAAAACGGATATATTCACGAATATGCAGAAAAATATGGTAAACATTTAATAAACATAAAATCAAATCCAAATATTAAATCCAAAAAGATAGAATACAATGTAAACATCGAAAATAAAAAACAACTTGAAGAGAGAATAGCCAAACTAGAGAACAAATTAACCATCAAAGACGATACGAAAAATAAACAATTCTACTTCGACGCATTTATCGATGGCAAAAGGCATAAAACAATGGCAAGATATGGAAAAACACCAAAAAATGAAGCATTAACAAAGATCAATAAGAAGAAGCAAGAAATAATCAACAAACTAACCATTTACTTCGAGTAAATATCTTTAATTAAAATATATCATTCTTTACCTTTCAATATATTGGTATTCATTAATTTGAAGAAGATATTTATTTATTTTCAGGGATCCTTTATAATGATATCATTATATACCATCCGAGAAAGTCACGCAATGGAAAAATGCATTCGTACCCCCATAAAATGATTGACTAACGACATAATGATTAACCATAAAATGAAATGCACAACTACATAAATCATGCCAAAACTGCCACACATTGGGGTCGAAGCGCAAAATAGAAATATTTGATAAAAATCAAAAATGGATTTTCGCTTTGAAGAAAATGAATGTGAGTTTTTGCCATGACAGCACCAGTAGTGACAACTTATAAGTTAGAAGGGCGAAGTAAAAGGCAAATTTAATGTACAAATGC